TCTGATGAAGAATTTTGTCAAGGCCATTGACAAAACACAAGCAGCTTTCAAGTACCTCCGTGGAAAATTTCCAAGGTTAAGTGAAGCTAAGATAAAAGAAGGTGTCTTTGTTGGTCCTCAGATTCGTGAACTTCTTCAGTCAGGAAAAGACGGCATGGAAAGCCTTCCAGTTAGTGGCAATAAATTTTCTCAGAAACAACAAGGCAGACCAACTACAGGTTGTTGGTGGGAAAACCTCCTCAAGGCATACAAAAGCCTTGGTTGCAACATGTCACTAAAGATACATTTTTTGCACTCTCATCTAGATTTTTTTCCACCGAACTGCGGAGCAGTGAGCGATGAGCACTGTGAGCGATTTCACCAGGACATTGCAACAATGGAGAAATGCTATCAGGGCAAATGGAGCCCATCAATGCTTGCAGACTATTGCTGGACAGTGACAAGAGATGCTCCATTTAATGAATACAAGAGACAAGCCAAGAAGCGCCGTGTAGACACTGAATAGGACTAAACTATGTACATAATAGTTTTTTGCCTTTTGTTTCATAATACATTTTATTTATATAACCCTTTTGCTGATTTTTAAAGTGTTACATAAACAGGACAGGTGAAATATCATGTAAAGCAACCATAAACACATGAAAAGACCTAGGTTTACAAGTTATGATTAAAACTCTATCTACACAATATACATAGACATAAAATGTAAAAACTTAAATATCTTAGAAACAGTAGCCAATCAGTTGTTTTAATTGTCATATTTGAATTCAGCACATCAAAATACATAATAAATAGCACATTTTATCTCTGAAGCAGACGACTTTTCAAAAATTGTAGACCTGTGATACCTGTCTAAAATTTAAACTGAAATTTTCTGACGAGTTGTGATCTTGATCTGTGTAGTGTTGGCTGCCCATCGGTTCTTCTTCGAGGAGTGTCCTTATGGGTGCTCCACTGAACGTGTGTCAGCACCCCTGTCCCTCTAATCAGAGATTCTAGATAGCAGTATACGTTCGGCCCACACGTGCACCCACCCCTCATCGAGGCTAACTAGCTCTGTACTGGTGAACCGCCTTCAATTCTTCTTCGAGTGCTGTCCTTGTGAGTGCTCCATTCTAGGTGATGGTGCGTCCTGGTGCAGTTGATCGGAGATCTTCGGTAGCAGTGCCTGGTCGGGACGCACGTGCTCCGCTGCTTTCTCGTGGCGTCTTTAGGGTCTTCCTGAGTGCGCGCGTTCCGCACCCCCCTCGGTTCCTTCTCAACCAGCCTTGGCTGAAGACGGGACTCGGGGCGGTGCTGATCCTCTTCCCTAGTTTCTGAAGGAAACAATTACAAAGAACCTAGAAATAGTTAGTAACTTCCCAGTTGTTTCCCTTCCTTTAGAATAGTTACTTAGTTTTGAAGAAAAAAGTGTGGTTTTTTTTGTTTGTTTGTTTTTACTTTGTCTCCCGCTGAGAGACTCTCCCCTGGCAGTCCTAGCGCAATAATGCCAGGGGCTTCAGGATTCAAGAAATATGCTTCCTGTCAGGACTTTATGCCAAGGTCCGATGGACACTCACATTGTGCGAAGTGCCTCGGTGAGACACACGTCCCTGCCAAATGTGTCCACTGCACGAGTCTCAAAACTAGAGCTCGTCATGATAGGGACCTGCGTCTGAAAATGCTTCTCATGCAGAAATCCCTGCCGCTGCCTCTGGAGACGGGCAATGGCAAACCCTCTCTCTCTCGCTCCCCAGCCAGGTCCGAACCAATTGGGAGCATGGCTTCACCCTCTCACGCGAAGAGGCAAGAAGCTCTGCAGCCGCCTATGGAGAAGAGCAGTGAACCCTCTCTCTCAGGCTCCCCTGCCAGGTCAGAACCGACCGGGAGCTCAGCTTCACCCTCTCGCGCGAAGAGGCAGAAAGCCCTAATGTCAGAGACACTCAAAAGGGTAAAAGAACTTCCACAGGGTCTTTACCCTTGGTGCTGTCAGCACCGAAAGCAGGCAACTCTGACTGCCCCGGCACTTCACAAGCAACTCACACAGGGCTGAAAAGCAGGGACCCGACTTCCTGCAGTGGGAAGCTCTCCTCGGCACTGGTCGTCCCCCCCCTCCCCCGGCACCGACAATGGACCCGGTGCTGACAATGGGTTCCACCCCAGTGCCAACAAGAATGTCGGCACCGGCTCTCAGCTCCTGCAAAAGTGAAACTAAAATCACTCCAGGCTGCCGCTCACACTTCACGTTCTGCAGCACACCAGCCTAGGGAGCAGCAACAATTCCTGCCTCGGCAGGATATCTCTGTGGCCCCTGAGCCTGACACTCCGCTCCTAGACACGGAACACTCACTGTTTGAACAGCAGCTCTCATCACCTGATCTGGATACTTTCACTGATAGTGAGAACAGCACACAGCAGCAGGCAGAGTTCTCCCTGCCTGAGTCTTCCCCTCCATCGGAGCCATACATACCCCAAGACATGGGGCATCATAAGAATCAGCCTCAGTTTCCCTACTTTGTCCCCCAGTGGCCGGGACCCAACTTTTCCTACCTGGCCTCAGTGGTACCTATGCTCGGCTCCTGCCACCGCTCCTCCTTGCGCCCCTTCTACGAGACCGCAAGCTCGTCCAGCTCTATCAACACCTAGAGCTCCTGAACCCCGTCCTGAAGACATGGGCTATGAACCCTTCCCAGGTTTACCAGCTCCTGCCTACCCATAAACAAAGCTCTCCTAAAACCAGCTGATACTCTCTGGCAAACCCCTGCCTCCATTCCACTAACATGCAAGAAAGCTGAACATAAATACTACGTGCCCGCGAAGGATGTTGATTTCTTATTTTCCCCACCCACAACCCAATTCTATTGTGGATGCAGCGACGCAGAGAATAAAGCAGCCACACTACCGGCCCACTCTGCAGGACAAAGACCTCAAATGCCTTGACCTCCTGGACCGCAAGGTTTATACCTCTTCTACTCTACAATTTAGAATTGCAAATTACTCCGCCCTCCTTGCAAGCTATGACCATGACAACTACAACAAGCTCTTTGATTTGCCTCCCATATACCGGAGGACAGGAGAGCGGACTTCAAGTTAGTCCTCGTTGAAGGTCAGTTGGTGTCTAGGACGGCACTACAAGCATCCATGGACATGGCTGATCCAGCAGCCCGCACCACTGCCACTGCAGTGATGATGAGCCGGTCTTCCTGGCACTCGGCATCCCCAAAGATTTGCTGTCCAAAGTGGAGGATCTCCCCTTTGACAAAGATTTTTTTTTTTTAAGAGTTTAAGTCCTTCACACTGAGAGACTCTAGAGCCACTTTGCGCACATTGGGCATATACCCATTCATACCCAGTAAGTCTCCCAAACTCTTCCTTTTATTTGCGGAAATACTCTCCAAATGGGTCTCCAGCTGCATTACCCACTGTTACCCCTTGCACATAACCTGCTGCCTCCATCAGGAATCCACATGCACTCCACAAGATGCATTTCCATGTAGCGCATGTTTGTTAAAGATGTCCCCATCTCAGAAATCTGTAGGGCAGTGACCGAGGCTTCTGCCCATACTTTTGCAGATCACTACACAATTACCTGGGACATGCCTTGATGCCATCTTTGGTTCCGCAATACTATAATCAGTAACAGATTCTACTCCGAAGCCCCACCCCTCCATGGGGGATATTGCTGTGGAGTCGCCTACAGTGGAGCACCCATAGGGACACTACTCAAAGAAGAAGAGGAAGTTACTCATCTTGTGCAGTAAGAATGGTTCTTCAAGATGTGTGTCCCTATGGGTGCTCCACAACTCGCCCTCCTCCCCTCTACTTTGGAGTTCTTACCAAGGGGCTCTGCAGTAGAGAAGGAAGGTGAGGCCTCATCTGGAATACTGTGTCCAGTTTTGGGCCCCACACTACAAGAAGGATGTGGAAAAATTGGAAAGAGTCCAGCGGAGGGCAACAAAAATGATTAGGGGTCTGGAGCATATGACTTATGAGGAGAGGCTGAGAGAACTGGGATTGTTTA